TATGTACATTAATCTATTTAATAAGTTGCCTGTTTCTGCACATAATGTATCTTTCACTAAGTTTAAGTTGTCTGTTTACAATTGGTTGGTTGCAAGGCCATTTTACAAGCTCGATGAATTCTTTGTATTGCCTGTTGATATTCAATTTTAAATTCTGTCTGTCTGTGATATAGCCAAGGGCTGAGTTGTTTTATAAGTTATTTATCTGTCTGTTTGTTAGTATTGTCTTTAAATTTTATACTCTTTTCTTGCCCCTGCTATGCTTTTTTCTAACTTATTTCAAACACACTGCATTTATTGTATACACATTGCACCTGTTTTCATGTTTGCTCTAGTCTTTGCATACCTATGTTTTTTATAAACTTCAGTATTTTATTTTTAAGATGACTGTGATACTTTTTGCATGTACTCTGCACTTGTTTATATTTTATTGTCTATATTTATTTAGCCTTATTGCCTGTAAACTTTAGGCTATAATTATGACGTTCATCCATTGCATGTGTTGTACATAGCGTTAACGATGAATAAAAATTCTTGATTCTTGATTCTTGATTGAAAAAATTCTTGATTCTTGATTCTTGATAGAAAACTGCAACGCAAGGGCTAGAGAAGGAGAAAAGTAATTAATTTGCTATTTCCTTGAGCCTCTAGATTGATTTAGTAATGCCTTTTTCAAACATATATTCCTTCTTCTTATGAACTAGTGAATCTGAATTCTTATTAAATCATTCATTAAATGTAAAGTCCATCAATCCTGTAAACATCCACTATTTATTTCAGGTGGACTTCTCCCACCAAGCTGTCTACTGATGTTAGGTTAACTCCTTTAGACCTAGTCGAGATGGGATATGAATCCTCCCATGTAGCACAGATGGTTGGGCCAACGTTGGCCAACTGTGGGACAGTTGGTCGATGGTTGGTTGGAGCTTCCACAACCAACCAACCGTTGTCCAAATACTGTATATCTCGTAGTTGGGCCAACCAATATTTACAACTGTGGACCAACATCGGTTCATTGTTAATGAAATACATTAATATGCATTGTTGGGTATCATACATCAAGCCAACCGTTGTCCAACCGTTTTTCACTCCGTTGGACCAACAAAAGATACTTTTGTTGGACCAACGATGGTCCATAGTTGAGTTTACACAACTTTCATTCTCTGGGTCTAGCTTTCACAACATAATTATAATAAAATATCTGGTTTTACAATACCTTTATCAGTTCCAAAAGTTTCCAAAAGTTTTTGGAACTGATAAAGGTATTGTAAAACCAGATATTTTATATATTACAGTTCCGGGGCTACAACAATGAATTTTAATAATTATAATAATGCAAATATTTTTTAAATTAATATTCTTTAACTTATTTGCAGCAATTTAAGGGGAAAGAGTAATTAATCATATAACAGTCAATTATAATAGCATTAATAATCTAACGGTAATTAATTAATCTATATTCAAATACCAGTATCCTCTCTAACTCCAAAAAAAAAAAAAACTACTTATGATGCCTTAACAGATTAACAGAATTGTAATATATAAGGCTATATTACATTGCCAGAAGATTATTGAGTTCGTGTGTGTGGTTGGCTGCACTGCTGAGTGACGTCACCGACTAGGAACGACGGCACGAAGCGGAGTGGAACGGCAGTCGGAGTTAACATGCTAATTAGTAAGTTGTCCCTAGTATCGGGTTCTCTTTGCTTATTAATTATTAGAAGTACAGTTATTACATTTGGCGACGAAATTAAATCCGCGTGTGCGTGAAATGTCTAGTATCGGTCGGATATCGGAGTTTAATCCGTACGAAGAAGATATTAGTTCGTATTTGTTACGTTTGAAACACTTTTTCAAGGCCAACGAGGTCAAGGACGTGAAGCAGGTCTCCATCTTGATTACGGTAATAGGCCCTAAAATATTAGCCGTCCTCACCGATCTTATTTCTCCTAAGAAGATTGATGAAGAATCTTACGATAATTTGAGCAAAATCTTGGAAGATCATTATTCTCCTAAACGCCTTGTGGTCGCTGAGCGTTATACTTTTTATAGTCGATGCCAGAAACAATCTGAAAGTATTGCCGAGTTCGTAGTGGCAGTGAAGCATTTGGCTTCGACGTGTGATTTTGGAACATTCTTATCGGACGCACTGAGAGACAAGTTAGTTTCGGGAATTAAAAATGAAGCAATTCGTCAAAAATTACTTTCCGAAGAAATGGATTTGAAGAAAACGTTGGCTCTTGCACTCAGGCTTGAACAGGCCGAGAAACAAACAGGTCTATTCTCGAATACAAGTGTTCAGGAAATTTCCAGATTTCAGGTCAAGAAGAATGCACGTGTTTCCAACCGAGGTTCAAATTTTCACAGTGCGGGATCGAAATCAAATTCAAGTGATGTGAAGGGAGATATGTCTCAGATAAATAAGTGTTTTCGTTGTGGCAATCCAGAGCATAGGGCTAATAATTGCCCGTATAGTAATTACAAGTAGTGATGGGAGAATCGAATACTTTAAAGAATCGAATACAGTGAATTCGTAGCCTCCCCTGTATTCGAATACTTGTATTCAAACACCTTTGAGTAAGCAAAGCATGGAAAATGAGTGTGTAATTCTTTTTTCATAATGCGGCGGTTCTTTTGGCCACTGTTATTTCGTTTTACAGTAATTAATTCATTAATATAATTTATTCAATGTAATTTTAAATTATATGATTTTTAAAAGGTACATTTATTTTGACTTATAATTATTTCATGGTCAGTTACAGTCTTATTGATGTATTATTTTCTATTATATTAACTAATTAATATCTTTAATAATATGTCTTATATTCATTTGTATGGATAATTTACATCAGATATGCATGTTATTTTGCCATGTAACTATATAAATCGGTTGTAGTTATAATAAATTCTATTCAATTGCCCTCTACCAGTAGTAACCTAATATTTTAAATATATATCCAATATATTCTAAATGTTAACGATTAATAATAATCTTATGTAAGTTATAGGGCTAATGGTAAAATTATAACGAATAGATGAAAACAAATGTTGCAGTAAAAACATTAAATACTCTTACGAATGCTACGGATTCGTAAGATATTTAAAAGGGAATTCAGTAGTTGAAAAAGTGTTGAATACATTTTTGAATCCCCCGAATTCGCTTTCTAGATTCAAGAAATCCTGCAAAATCTGAGGTCAAGAGTATTCACAAAAAAGTATTCGTACGAATCTGAAGTATTCGAATCTACGAATACTCGGGCTGTATTCGAATACTATTCGATTCTGTATTCGATTCTCCCATCACTAATTACAAGTGCCATGGGTGTAAAAAGTTGGGTCACATCAGTAAGGTTTGCAGGTTCAAAAATGAAAATCCAGTGAAAAATTCCATAAAAAGTGGTAAATTTAAAATCCATCAGATGGAAGAGGAAAATAGGCCTAGGCCTAGTGGTGGTCCAGATGAAGTGGAGTTTGAAAGTTTGTCTTTGTACTGTATGAATTCTGGTGATAATGTTTCTGCCTTTAAGGTAAGCCTAGAAATAGAGAATGTATCCGTATTAATGGAAATTGATACTGGCTCGGCACTAACTGTGTGCCCTCAAGAATTGTTTAACAAATATTTCCCTCATGTACAATTGAGTACTGTAGATATCAAGTTGCTTACATATTCAGGCAATGAAGTCAATGTTATTGGACAAGCTTTAGTCAAAGTAACCTACATGGACCAGACTTATCAGTTACCTATGATAGTCGTTAAGATTGATCGTACGAATCAGCCTATGCTTCTAGGCCGTAGTTGGCTACAACATATTGCTTTTGACTGGAAATCTATTTTTACTTGTAATTTTAATAGCCTATCAGGCAGTGTTAAATCTAAGGGTGGTGAACCTAACCTAACCCTAGGTAAGGCCGTTGAGCCTAAAGTCGTTTCTGGTTTGAAACAAAAGTATTCCTCTGTGTTCAAAGGAGGTCCTGGTGAAATTAAGGATGTTGAGGCACGTATTGTGCTAAAAGAGGATGCTGTGCCAAAATTTTGTAAATATCGCCCTGTTCCTTACGCGTTGCGTAAATCAGTAGAAGATGAGATTGATAGGATGATTGCTGAAGGTATTGCTTATCCCGTTACCAGCTCTCAGTGGGCTACTCCTATTGTGGTGATTCAGAAGAAAAGTGGGGTGCGACTCTGCGGGGACTTTAAAGTAACCCTTAATCAAGTGATCCAGTCGGAACACTATCCCTTGCCTCAACCGGAGGACATTTTTGCTACTCTAGCAGGTTGTAGCTGGTTTTCAGTTTTGGACTTGGAGGCAGCGTATCTCCAACTTCCTGTGGCGGAGGAGTCCCAACCACTCTTGACTCTAACTACGCACAAAGGCTTAGTGCGTTTGCGACGTCTGCCGTATGGTTTGTCTTCGGCTCCGGCTCTCTTTCAAGCGGCCATGGACAAAATTATTGGTGGCCTACCTGGGTCAGTGGCATATTTGGATGACGTACTGGTGGGTGGATCTTCGCAAGAGGAAGCGTTGTCACGCTTGGAGAGTGTTCTTCAACGTCTTCAAAGTTATGGAGTCAAGGTAAATGATTCTAAATGTAAATTCTTACAGCCGTCAGTACAGTACCTAGGCTACTGTTTGTCGTCCAAAGGGATCAGCCCGCAGGAGGGTATTTTGGAGGCGATTCGGAATGAACCCGAGCCAACTTCAAAGGAAGAGTTAAGAGCCTATGTAGGCCTTATAAATTATTATGGGAAGTTTATTTGCAATCTTTCAGACAAACTTAGCTGTTTTTACGATCTACTTCGTAAGGATGCACCGTGGGTATGGTCATCCCAATTTTTATGTTTGAAGTAAATACATAAATTGATAGGTAAATTAGTTTAATCAAATAGAACTGAACTTATTCATGAGTCAAAAACTAGAAACAAAAACAATAACAAAAACAAGTTAAAAGTCAGCTGCAATTTAAACAATGTTAAAACATATCACTTCTTCCCACCAAGTTTAGGCTTCTTCAATTAACCTCCTCTGTGGCCTGAAGGTCCTTGTTGATCTTCGCAGCTGAGGAGGTACATTCGGGTGTGGTAAAGCTTCTGCAGGGGATGTTCTAGGTCGTAGCTGAGGAGTGGAATTCGGATGTTGTGAAGCTACTGTAGGGAATGTTGAAGGGCTAGGGAATACAGCTGGTGATCCATGGTTTTCCGAATTCCGAACATGTACTTCTGCATTTCGTACTTGGAAATCTGAAGAAGACAGTAGCTGTGGTAATTGTTTAATGCAGGGGTCGTCTTCCTCTTCCGATTCATTGTCTTGGTAAAATTTCCGCATTTGACTTGTATGTCTTTTAGTGTGTCCATTAGAATCAATCAACCATGTGTTCCTACCTAACTGTCTAAGTATGGTTCCTATTTTCCATTTTACTTTCCCTTCAACAAAAGTACGAATGTACACTTTACTCCCAATAGAAAAGCCTCTGGTTTTCTTATATCGCAGCACTTCAGAAGGTTCATCTCTTGAGTTTATCTCTTGTGAAGGTTTGATAAAATCTAATTTAGTTCGCAGATTACGACCCAAGAACAAAGATGCAGGTGTTTGTCCAGTTGCAGTGTGAGGTGTAGCTCGATAGCGAAATAAATATGTCCTCAAGTTGTCTGTGAACAAGCTAGGCTCTTTATTGTACTGTAATTTGTTCATAGCTCTTTTAAAGGTATCTACATTTTTCTCCACTTGTCCATTTGAACTTGGGTGAGCTACTGGAGTCGTAATATGTTTGATATTATTACGCAAGCAGAAATCTTTAAAACCTTGCGAAGTAAATGAAGTTCCGTTGTCTGAGACGATTGTTCTAGGTATTCCATATTTACACAACAAATTCTTGAGCGCTTCTACTGTCCTTTCTGTGGTAATAGAGGACATAGGTACTATTTCTGGCCATTTCGAGAAAGCGTCAATTACTAAGAGAAACATTTGTCCGTAAAATGGTCCAGCAAAATCTAAATGGATTCGACTCCAAGGTTCACTTTCTTTAGGCCAGTTGAATAGATGTTTTTTACTTGGTAAATCTTTTGCAAACAAGTTACATTCACGGCAACGGTGACAAGTCTGTTCAATTAGAGCATCCATACCTGGCCACCACACATGACCCCGAGCCTCTGACTTCATTCTGACCATGCCATTGTGAGATTCATGTAAGTAGTTCATGATGTAAGTTCGGTATTTAGGTGGAATAACAGTTCTTATTCCCCACAGAAGACAGTTATTATGTAGAGTCAGTGCATCTTTCTTAGAAAAATAAGGCTTCAAGTTCTCCTCTGGACACTTATTAGGCCAACCAACTTTTACATAGTGCATCACCTTCTTCAAAACAGGGTCCTTAACCGACTCCTCAGCGATTTCAGTACAAGTAATAGGAATCTCGGACTGCACTTCTGTTTGAATTGTCGCTACTATTGTATGGTGTCCCTCATCATTGGAATCAAAAGAGTTAGGTTGAAATGACGGTAATCTACTCAAACCATAGACATTATAATGAATTAGCCTGTAGAATTGAATAAACTATCTTGCACTCCAAGTTTTCCATAAAATCATCCTCGTCGCCAGTTTTATGTTTGAAGTAAATACATAAATTGATAGGTAAATTAGTTTAATCAAATAGAACTGAACTTATTCATGAGTCAAAAACTAGAAACAAAAACAATAACAAAAACAAGTTAAAAGTCAGCTGCAATTTAAACAATGTTAAAACATATCACCAATGTTCTTCTGTTTTTCAAGAAAGTAAGACATGGGTATTGTCTTCAGATGTCTTAGTTCATTACGATGTAAATAGACCATTAGTTTTGACTTGTGACGCAAGTCCACGAGGTGTTGGTGCCGTGCTTTCACACCTAATTGATGGAGTAGAGAGGCCTATTGCCTTCGCATCGAAATCCTTGAGTGCTAGTGAAAGGGATCAGTTCCGTTGTGAAGCTAGTATTTTACTAAAGAAAATTCCTACTCCTAAACCTAATCTTAGTAAAGAGGAAACCAAAGCAGTATCAGTCCTTGGGAAAGACGGTACTGTAAAGATTTTGCCCGCGGATAAAGGGAATGCCACGGTAGTTCTTGATACTGTGACATACGAAGAAAAAATGTTAGAAACTTTGCAATCTGGCCAATACACCCAATTGAAAAAAGACCCCACAGAAACTTTCGAGCGTAAAATCGCTAGTACTCTAAGAAAACACAAAAAGTTTTTTAGCGACAAACAAAGGACTCGGTTGACACCACACCATTCCAAAATTCCACACATGTACGGGTTACCTAAGATCCACAAACCTAACGTTCCTCTGAGACCAATAGTTAGCTCCCGTGATTCTGCTTGTAGGGAATTGTCTAAAGTCCTTCTGGACATTTTAAAGCCTTTAGTAGGAAACACTGATTCGTTTATCAAAAACTCCAAAGATTTTGTAGAAAAGTCTAAATCTATCGTACTGGCTGATACTGACAAGCTGGTCAGCTTCGATGTTGAAAGTCTGTTTACGAATGTCCCCGTTTCGGAAACCCTAAAAATAATTGAGACCCGTCTCACAAACGACGATACTTTAGCAAACAGAACTAAACTCCCTGTTAACGTCATAATGGAACTTTTGGAGTTGTGTACTCAATGTAACTATTTCCAATTAGAGGGTAAATTATACCGTCAAGATGAGGGTATGGCCATGGGGTCACCATTGTCACCTATCTTTGCCAACATCTTTATGGAGGAGTTTGAGCAAAAAGCTTTGGCTTCAGCTCGGCTCAAACCGAGGATATGGTGGAGATATGTCGATGACACTTTCGTGGTTTTCCCTCATGGAGATGATAAATTGAATGAGTTTTTAGAGCATCTTAATAGCGTTTCATCCTCCATAAAACTAACCATGGAGGTGGAATCACAAAACAAACTCCCCTTTTTGGACGTGTGCGTAGAAAAGCATTTGAACAGTCTTAGAACATCTGTTTATAGAAAAAAGACACACACAGGGCAGTATCTAAACTTTCAATCAAACCACCAAATTTCTGTCAAGGAGGGGGTTGCTTACTCTCTGTTTGACAGGGCTAAGAGCATTTGCTCCAATCAGGATGAGTTAAAGGATGAAATTAAGAAAGTAGAACAGGATTTGGCTAGTAACGGATACCCTCGATCCATTATAAACAAATGCAAGAAAGATAGGGCTACGCGTGAACCTTTACAAAATCGCAAGGAAAAACTCGTCCACATGTCAATCCCGTATGTGTCAGGACTGTCGGAAAAAATCAGAAGGGTTGCTAGGAAATTTAATGTGCAAACAGCATTTAGGACACAAAACACACTTAGGCAGAGTCTCGTCAAAACAAAACCCAAAAATGACACTCAGGATACTAAAAACTGTGTTTACAGAATAAATTGCAATGATTGTTCCAGGCCTTACTATGGCGAGACAAAAAGACCGTTGAACATTAGAATCAAAGAACACAGAGAAAACACCAAAAAAGGTTTAGTGGAAAAATCTAAGATCGCTCATCATTGCTGGTCCGAAAATCATCGTATGAATTTTGAAGAGGCAAAAATTGTCCATAAGGAACCTCATTTTTTCAAACGTAAACTCATTGAAGCCTCATACATTAAATTAGCAGACCAACCAATCAGTCAGTCATCGGTTGAAATAAGGCCACTTTGGCTACCCATTTTGAACAAGGAACTAAAGGATAGGGAACTTAATTGTTCAATAAATAGGGAAATAACGAGTTCTCCTCAAAATTCGCACGTTATGTTAACTCGTAGTAAAACTCGTGATATGAATAAACATAATTAACACCCATCTTGCGGCATCGTACATCGCTCCGCCATTTTGTTGGTTTTACTTTTCCAGGGACCGGAAGCCATTTCTGTTGTCTCCGTGTTTCCGATTGGTCAGCCATGTTGGTTCAGTCTCATTGGTGGAGTCATAGCGTACGGTGTTGTTAGTGTTCCATTGTGTGAGTTTTTTGTACGTAAACCTTTTATAGATTATAGTGTTTTGTGATTTGTTATTAATTGCATGTTGTATCATGACTTGACTGCTATACAGTGCATATTTTTTGACTACTACCCTCGGTAGTGTATTCCAACTTAGGTTGGGCGTTTGTGTATTGTTAGTTGTAATGTGTTAGTTAAGTTTTTTCACCTGAAGACGGGATCAGATTCCAGATCCCGAAACGTTGTGTATTGTTTTTTTTACATTCGTGATGGAAAATGTCCGCAATAAACCTTATTCTATAGTATTACACATCTACCATAGCCATAATGTTCTACCACTTCACCTAAACAATAGAGAAAAATAAATTATCAACAATTCGCAAAATATCACAAATTATTCATGAAATGAAAAACATAAAGATAACTAACAATCCTACTTTGACAGTTCTCATTGCGAATCACAGTTTTTTGTTGCTGCTTAGTTCAAATTAGCTGTTTTCATAAAAGCAAAAAAAATATAGTGCTGCACCCTGTTGGTAAATCTTATAACTTTTTAATGCTTTTGTATATCATAGAACCAACTTTTTTAGTTGAAACAGCTGACTAAATTCTTTAATTCCCTTTAAATATGAATACTCATAAGGTTAACATGGGGAATTACAGAGCCACTGGGGCGGAGCCCGAAAGAATTTTTGAGATAAGAAAATGCCTATATGTTAATCGGGAATGTAAGCTATCATCATGCCAAATTTCAGCCCAATCCGTCCAGTGGTTTATGCGTGATTGAACTTCAAACACACAAACAAATACCCCCGCCGCAGCAAACCTGCCGACTAAGGGAATTTCCAATTGTCTGAATTGATTTTCAGTTAAATATATTTTAATAACATTAGGTTTAACGAGTACCTAGGTTTGCTGCTACAAGGAACTAACAAAGTGTGTTTTTGAGTAAAATATTGATAGCTTAGTACAAAATAAATAAATTTGCCAAGTTTGATCAAAATATATCCATAAACAAGCAAACTACAACATTTGACAGTATTCTCCATAAGAACAACATGAGAATTTTAAATTTACAATTTTTTTATTTTCTCCGTTACTAATAATCGAACAAAATACTTTTACATACTAAATTATTTGTTTTTTTAAGCTCTTTGAAAAGGTCTAAAGAGAAATCGGGAAATTTTGTGTTTTGAGGGTCAAAAGTGAGAAAAACCAATTTTTACCCCATAAAACCCCCCGTAAAGCCCCGTTCCCATGGTCCGATCGTGCTGGTTCGCGAACTCATTCAAGTTTATCCCGCTTTACACCTTTAAACCAAATTTCATCAAAATCGGACAAAAATTACCCAAGTTATCGCGTTCACGGACGTATATATATAAAAGTCTATATATATATATATATATATATACATATATAAAAATAAGAACGAATGGTGTTTTTGGCCTCTGGGGACATCAAAATGAAAAAGTAAATCGGTGCCGGGTCTAGGTCTTACCGTGCCACCTACGGTAATAGCTACTTCCCTATAGGGAAATTTGCTAAAACACAAACTTTCACATTTATAATATTAGTAAGATAAGATATAGTTTTGCAAAGCGTCAAAGTCAAAGTCAAAACATTCTTTATTCAGTGTATTATAGGCTACAGCTGGACTATTGTTCTAACTCTTACTGACTAGGTGTGGTGTTCAAGAAGATGTTTTATAATTTAACTAAACAAGAAACAAAAATACCATACATGTCAGATTTGAATAATAATTAAGGCCTGTATCCTTTTGGTTGGAACAGAAACCAATAAGTGAAAGTTATAAAATTTTTATTTACAGCCTTTTTTATATATACATATATTTACAAAGCATAACATAATCAGTGTTTATAGCTTATTTGAACAAATGTCTCAACCTATTTACATTTTTTTGAGAGTCTTTTGTGGTCAACACTTCACGAAATAAACTAATTAATCCAGTTTCATGGTTTCCATGTAATAATTTGTGAAACATAGCGTTTCAAAAATATCTCTTAAAACGCTCTTAAAGGGATGATAATACACTGATTTATTGTACAGAATCATTACAAAATCAATAATTGGCCATCAATGACTAACATAAGTTTTAAAATGTCTTCAAGACTTTATACAATCCAAACCACAAATGCATGATACACTTTCAAATATATCTCTTAAGACACTCTTAAAGAGATGATAAAACACTGATTTATTGTACAGAATCATTACAAAATCA